ATCTTTTGCTATCTTCTCATTTCAAAATGAGGTAAGGTCTCCGTATAGTCTAGTTTCAATGAGTTTGTTGTTGTAGATATCATTTCCACTTGCACAGAGTTTAAAAAAGTAAAAAAGATTTGCATCCAACGGTGTGGCCTAGTGATTGTGCTAAGGTCTGTGTACAATCTAGTTTCCCTGGCCCCATTTTCCATGAGGTCTTAGGTTCAAAACTCATTGAAGATAAGTGATTCTTTGTGTTCTAGCCTTGATGGATAGAGTTATGTGTTACCTGTTCCGACAAGTATCCGTGGAATTAGTCGAGGTGCGTGAAAGCTGACCTAGATACCGTGGCCATAAAAAAAAGTAAAAAAGGTTTTTAAAATCATGTGGTCTCAAATTAAAGATACTTTGAATTTTTTGTTAATGTTATGGTCTTAAACATGTTATGTTATATGTGAAGTTGAAGTTGAAGTTAAAGAGTTGAAATGAAGGGAAGATGTATTCTTTTGGAAACAACTAAAAAAGGAAAGTAATTAAATGAATTGGAATGAAGAAGTAGTAGTTTGAGTATTGGTTTATCCATCCAAGTGATTTTTTGTATGTTGTTGATTGCTTAATATTCATTATTGTCTTTGATACTTAAAAAGTTAGACCTTACTAGTGATCTGCTAGTCATACTTATTAGGAGGAATAAAAAAAATAATTGTGGTGGAGTTGATTGACATGAGTCAAAATAATTGTTGAAAGTTTAGATCTGTTTTCCTTCATATCTTCCATTAAATGGAATTTGGGTGAAAAAGAAACTCTCTTTTGTATGATATAATAATGAACAGAGAATGAATACATAAAGACATGTCTATGATTCAGAAAGAAATTCGCTCACAGTTGAAAATGACAAGGCAATTAACATAGCTCAACATTAGAATGTATATTAAAGTGGAGCTTGTTCTGATGTTCCTCAAGCTTGAAGTTAGTCCAAACATCCACTAAGAAACTTGCTTGAAAACAGAAATTATAATGTTCTTGAACATATGAATCCAACATATCTTTACTCTAGAATCTATGCGCTCTTGCTTGTCGTTTATGGTTGTCTGTGGGAGTGGTTTCTCTTGTCTTTATCTGTGTGTACATGAAATAAAGAGGGGGAGGAAGGGTGGGGGAGAGAGGTTTACCTGTGTGATTTGAGAAAGGTGAATCTCTATAACAACCTTTGTGTGAGTTCAACATGGATTGTCTTCTGCTGTACCTTATGATGTAAACTAGTTGGTGTATATAACTTCTTGTTAGTTCAGTACTGTTGATGTGGTAATTTGTGTCATCCTTATAGTTCTTCAATTTGTGGATACCCTCGACTCTCAGCTTCTTTTCGCTTTTAATCTTTCGGAGTTTTTTCAAATTTTCAAACAGTCTATATGTAACTGATATTTTTTATGATTTGCTTCAGATGCTGGACTACAATGTACCTGGAGGTAGGAAATAATTTCTACTTATTAACTATTCTAAAATTTTGTACTACTTGTACAATCTTCGATAACTCGAGAATATCTTCTAGCAGCTTTATAATGATGTATTCTCTGTACAGGGAAGCTGAATCGAGGACTATCTGTTATTGACAGCCTTAGTTTGTTGAATGATGGAAAAGAACTATCCCCTGATCAAATCTTTAAAGCATCTGCTCTTGGCTGGTGCATTGAATGGGTATGCAAAACAATCACTTTTTTCAATCTGTGGTTCAAGCTGAATTCCTTGGTGACCCCAATAAATTCAGCTTTAGTTCCGCTTTTCTTCTTTTCAATGTGTAACTAGAGCAAATGTATGTTGCAGCTTCAAGCATACTTCCTTGTTCTTGATGATATAATGGATGGCTCTCATACACGTCGAGGTCAACCATGCTGGTACAAATTAGATAAGGTGTGGGCCTACACAGGGGTTACTGTTTGTTCCTCTTTGTGCTTTCATGTGCAATACCTACTGGTCATTCTCTTTTCACTCAGTCATTTTTATTTCAATACTTCTTATAGGTTGGGATGATTGCTATTAATGATGGCATACTTCTTCGCAACCACATCACGAGAATTCTGAAGAAGTACTTCAGGCCAGAGCCTTATTATGTTGATCTTCTAGATTTGTTTAATGAGGTAGGATTTTTTTCAAAGAAAAAGAATAGGCCTTTGAATTAAACCTTATATATATATAATGCTGAACGTTTTGTTTTCTCTTTTGCTTTGTGGACATAATCTGACAGGTAGAGTTCCAGACTGCCTCTGGACAAATGATAGATTTGATCACAACACTTGCAGGAGAGAAAGATTTATCAAAGTACTCATTGTCTATGTAAGGGGACTTTCTCAAGACTTGTGTGCAATTTTTCTGCTTGCACAATATTTCTTGCATTATTTAACTTTATAATGATGTGATTGCATGCAGTCATCGCCGGATTGTCCAGTATAAAACTGCCTATTATTCATTTTACCTCCCAGTGAGTATAAATCTTCCTTTCAATTGAGTTCAGAGCTTATTGTACTATTTTGAGAATGATTGCATGTCTATTATGTTTCTTAACACTTGCTTCCTGTTTTTTTTTTTTTTAAAAAAAAAAAATGGGAAACCATTATCCTTGTTGATCTGAGGTTGATTTTCTCTTAAAAACATTTCAAAGTTCAGAATCTTCTTCGAATTATATTAACTATATGCAACTGCTGGAAAGGCATAGAGGAGCCTCTTATTTTGTGTCCATAAGCAATACCTTTCCATTGTTGCAAATCATATGCTGCTTGTTTTGTATTTAACTATTCTGGTCCCTTTAGCAAAGTTGTCTCTTCAGAATCATAGTATGTGCCTCAAAGTTTAATTTGTATATAAGCTACATCCTGAGTACTCACGGTTAAGATCTCCAGGTGGCATGTGCACTTCTTATGGCAGGAGAGAATCTTGACAACCATGTTGATGTCAAGAAAATTCTTATTGACATGGGAATCTACTTTCAAGTTCAGGTGAGAATTACAACCACTCCTTAATAGCTTCCATTGTGTATATAGTTCCACATTTATATTCGAAGAATCGTTTCAATTTAAAATTGACCTTTAATGAGGAAAAAATGGACATTCACCATGGAACAATACGAAAACTATCTTCTTTTTCTCAACCAAAATTATGCTTTTGAAGTTTGATAGCTGTAGTCTGACCTTGCATCTCGTTGGGAAATGGAAAAGAGCAAATCAAAAGCAAAGAAGATAATTCCTTAAATTAGCCTACTTTCAAATCGTAAAAGAATGTGGTCTTTTTTTAAGAAGTATGAGAAGCATTGTAGAGATAAAAGTCAACGCGTTTCATGTGGTCAAACTGTGAAAAGAAATTTGTACATGGCGAACAGTGTGATGAATGTAGTCTTGGACACTGTGTCCTTTGGACATCTCCATCTAGTTTGGTTTCCAATATACCCAAGAACCATCGACAAAACTTAGTTTCACAACGTTTGTGCTTTCATGCAACAGATTCTGACTAGTAGCTCTCTTGACTTTGTAGGATGATTATCTGGACTGTTTTGCTGACCCAGAGGTGCTGGGCAAGGTATGTTGTAAAGGAAGCTCATAGTACAAAGCTCCTTTAATATTAATCAGAGAGCTATTTTAACTTGAAAAAGTAGAAATCTTATGGTGACCTCTTTTGCTATCAGATTGGCACTGATATTCAAGACTTCAAGTGTTCTTGGTTGGTAGTTAAAGCTCTAGAACTCTGCAACGAGGAGCAAAAGAAGATATTATCTGTAAGCTCGAAACTTGTTATCCCTCGGTTAATTTCTATAAAGATTTTGTTCTATTTGAAGATGCTAATTAGAAGAGCTTGTTTTGCAGGAGAACTATGGAAAAGATGACGCTGCTTGTATTGCTAAAATAAAGGCACTCTATAATGATCTCAAACTTGAGGTAGTCCACTTTACCTCCCCCCTCCTGAGATAAATCGAAAGTTCTGTGTAATCATTGCACTCTTCTCTTTACAAGTGGTCGATCTCATTTGATGTTCAGTAGTCGAAACATAGTTCTTCAGCTTTTAATTTATTTTCTTCTGAATTTTGTAGGAAGTATTTCTGGAATACGAGAAGACGTCCTATGAAAAGCTGACCAGCTCTATTGCAGCTCATCCAAGCAAAGCAGTGCAGGCAGTGCTATTATCATTCTTGGGAAAGATTTATAAGAGACAGAAGTAGGAAATAAAATAATTAATGAACTTCATTCTCTCATTGGGAGTGAGATGTCTGTATTTCATGCATTTTTCTGCTTTTTTCCCCCTTCTACTTTAGCTTGAAGTACTGATGATGGATTGTTATTATTTTCAAGAAATGGAAACTCTTATCCTTTTTCACCTTTAATAAACAGTAGAAAAGTCCAATGAAATCTTTCAGTATTCTGCTTTGTCATTGTTGTTTCATTGCCTTCAACTCATCGCTTCAAGTGCTGGGAACTAGGGGTGTTACTCAAAAAATCCCTAGGTTTTGAGTTGGAATTTGAATCCTTGATGAAATCTAAGATTTTGCAACATTTGTGTGTTAAACAATGCTTATTTAACATATTAAACTTGAGTTCATGATAAAAACTTGAGCATTGTCTTGTTTCGTAGCGGAATTGGTTGATGCATTGTAGATGTTTCCCTATTTATACCAGTAGCAGTAGCATTTGGCTTGCAGTTGCCAGTCTTACGACTTTTGTTACTCGTTATTTACTGTGCTTCAGTTATCGCATTGGTTGGTTATGGTTATTGCTATTCTTTTGACTGCTATGTTATGTTTTTCCTATTATTTTCTCTATCCTCTTTACTTCAATACTTCTGATGTTCACTACTTATGGCGAGAGTCTTTCAGAAACAGCTTCTCAATCATGTATCATTTTCTTTTCCAGTTGAATATTTTAGTTTAAGTTGGATAACTTTTGCAATTCTCATTATGCTAAACAACCAAACTTCCAAAATTTTCTAATCCTTAAGTATCTTTTACAATAGACATAATGCTGGTGTGTTTGCCATGCAGAAATTTACACGTTATAATAATCAATTAAAGTGGATCAACAGGCTGCTTTGCTTAGCAGCACGACACTTGTATTGCTCTCCCACAACCCCGTTTTCACGGTAAAAAATTAGATCTAACTTATGTACCAACAAAAAAAAAAGTAAGAAATGCTACTTAGACGACAGCATGAGTTTGGTCCGGAGGTGTGTATCTGGAGTTGTCATCATCTTCAGTACTCTTGAGTTTTTGAGGAGGTAAACTATGCTTTGGGAGTTGGTCACTCGCCTTTTCTCTTGATTCCTTTAAGCTGAGGGATGTGTATACTGTCATTCCACCTAGAGCTGTAACGGCACCACATATACTCGTCCACCCTGGATCTGAACTAAACAGGAAATATCCTCCTAGTAGGATCACACAAGTCTTGAATTGTCCTAAAACAACGTGTGACGTTGCTGATGTAGCTCTGCATCAACAATTACAGTTCCTCTTAATGAATTTTCAAAAAACCGTGCAACAGATAAGTCCGGAGCTCATATTAGAAGACTCTTACCCAAGTGCTAAAGCTCCAGACCATTGCAAGAGGAAACCAAGTAAGGCTGAGATGAGAATAGCACTCGTATTGTGGATGTCCCACTTGAAAGATAGCACTCCTGGAGGGTCTAGCAAAGGCGACAGTGGTACCAAGAAGAAAATTGTCACTGGGGTTGTCCTCCACATCAACCTGCATAAAACTTTGGTCGTCAGCATATTCAAGCTCAGAGTCACTTGTTATCATATGAAAAGTAAACGAAAAAGGAAGCATTTCTTACGCAAGAGCAGTCCAATTGGTTTGTTGTTGGAGATTTGACCAAAGAATTTTGTTTACACCGCTTGGAACTATCCATGCTAGTGCAATACAAGCCCCAAAGAAATTAAATTCCAAGTCTGTGACAGTTGCAACTGCAACGCCTACTGACACAACAGCCAAAGCCAGAACCTGCATCATTATTTGAACTTGAGCAAATTCAAGAATGATGTAATCCATAAAGGTCTATATTATTTAAACATATAATTTGGTAATGCTTCATGTAACTAACTTTGTGAAAGGATACTGTTTTCTTGAAAAGAAAGAACTCTGCAATGACAATGGTTGGAGTAACCGCAATTTTAGCCATCTGATAGAAACCCACACTGCACGAGTCAGCTAGTTAGGAAAAGAGAAGTTGCCACAAGGTTTGGACTTGGAGAAAAGGTTTACAAATACGGTAACCTGTTATGATTCAGACTAGCATTGGCAAGGCCAGAGGCAAAAGCCATCACAACGCCCAACGAAAAGAGTGAAGAAAATGGTGTTGTTCTAGCAGGAGGAGCAGCTGGAAGCAATGACAAAGCCTTGAAGATGGCGAGTAATATCCAAGAACAGCAGTAATGGATGAGCGTTAGGAAAATGGGAAATTTAAATCCAACTCTTCCCATAATCTGCAAACCACATTTGCAACTTTAGAAGCCAATAAAATATTTCACCATTCACCAGGTCATGTCAAAACAGTTATAGACTCTATTTTTTTGGTGTTATATATATTGCAACCATCAAGAGTTGGAAAATGTAGGAACGAAAGCCATACAAGTTTGTTTCCTAATATTATTCCAACAGCAACCATGAAATTGAAGGTCATTGCCATAACTGGACCACAGAATCGCTGTTGTTGACGCTTGGCTCCTTCTGATGTTCGAAGCTCATTGTAGAAAGAACCTCTGAGCTCTTCCAGTGCCCGACCTGGTTTATAATAGGGCATAAGTATTTAGTTTTGAATCGAGGCAAAAGTACAAGTTGTTCTAAATAACAGCTAAATTATGTATAGTAAGTACTTCTAAATGGAGAGATATTATTGTTCTAGGTAATACCTATTTCCATACATGATGAAAAGCAGAAATCCTACAAGGTGTCTGAAGATGCAGCTTATATTATACACTCCGGGTTCAACTGAACTCACTATTTTAGACATAGGACATATACATACATATGTGTACATCTTTTTCATTGAGAATGGAAAAAGAGAGTACAACAACTTAAGTGTTAATGGGTCGTTTGGTTTGAAGACAACTTATGATATTCTTAGCTATGCTACGATTAGTTATCCTAGTAGAGTATTATTTTTCAGTGAATGTTTGGTTTGTTATATTAAAAATAATATGCATGTTCACAAAAATATCCTCGACGTGTAAAAGATGTGAAAATTATATAAAAAGGATTTGAGGGGTATTTTTGTCATTTTAAATTATTCTAACTAGAGGTAAGGATAAATTAATCAGTGATAAATTATCCAAACTTTATAACAGACCTAATAACAAGTTTAAATCCTGGACCCGCCTCGGTAAAAGAAGAGGCATATACAAGGATTCTTAACTAAATGCTGGATAATTTATAAACTTCTGATTAAGACAATAATATACAACAAATTTTGCAGCAAAGAATCAGATTGCATTAATGAACTCACACTCTAATTTTCTAGAACAAACAGATTGTCAAATCCCAGTTTCCAGTTATTAACCCACAAGAGAATGTGTGCAGAATAATCAAAATTTTGAAAACCTAAAACTCCTGAAAATTAAAAATAAAAGGATAGCAAAGCAAACAGAAAAATAATAGTCTGAAAATCAATAATAGAAAAAAAAGGGATGAAGAGTGCTTCACCTGTTTCACCAGCATCGCTATCTTTTCTCTTGATAAACCTTCTACCTCCATTTCCAAACAAATAATCCAGAAGGCCCATAACCTCCCCACAATTTTCGTATATGAAGAGGTGAGCAAATTCTTACAAAATGCCCATAAATTGATGGTTAGTTAGAATGAAAAACTTTTAAAATATAATGAATGTGAAAGGCAAAATGTGAGAGATCTTACGAAAGAAAGGAGTATTATAGTTGCAAAAGGAATGTAAAAGAGTGTAGAAAAAGCAGGACTCTCTTTAACAAACATGTATTGACATGTTTTTAAGGTATCATTATTTTGAGTAAAATTAAAGCCATAGCCTACTCAATCTACTATAAATGTCACAAATGTCACAAAAATATTAATTTGAATAATGAAGAAATGGAGAAATGAATGTTTGAGAATAGGAAGGAAGAAGAAGAGAGATGCATCAAAAATTTGAACAAACTAATGCGTAAACCAAGCCAGAATCACGGATCTAAAAAAAAATTCTCCAAATGAGGTAACATTTTTCATATTCAGAAAGTTTCTTTTTATTTGGCTTTTTTTATTGTCTTCCTCAAAATTAGGGATAATTTGTTTTTGTAATTAACTTTTAGCATAAATCTTTGTTTAGTTTTTACCCCAAGAAATATTTATTTTTACCTATTGAAAAAGTTATTTTCTTCTATTCATTTAAGGAGTCGTATGATAGTCGTTTAAAACAAGTCTTATTCATATATTAGACTCCATATAGTTTATACGACGTTTGGTAGGTGGATAGGAAAAAAGTTATTCATATATATAATTAATACGATATTTGATGGGTGGATAAATTTTTTTATTTGTATAGCTAATATTTGTATAATCAATACCCACATAACTTATACTGCATAGCTAATACTTGTATAACTAACATCCACATTATTAATGCATGCATAACTAATACACATATTACCACTTTGCACTATCTATTCATTTTGGAAAACTTACAAAAAAATAAATAAGTTGTTTTGTGATATTTTTACTAGTGATCTTCATTTTTACGCATGATAAAACTAAAAGGCTATTCTTTTATCCATTTTGTAAAGGGTGAAATTTATACCCCAAACTTTGATTTAAAAATCAAACTCTCTCCTCAACTTTGAGAAATATTCATTTTCCCTTCTTATCTTATGCAAAATTTATATTACTCCTGTCATTTTTAATACTTCATCTATGTAACATTTGTTTTTAATTTTTATATGCTTAATTTTTTATTATTGAACCAGTATTTATAGATTTTTTTAAATTAAGTTTATTAACATTATATATGGAATAATTCTTTTATAAGTTTATTGCAAATTTTAATATATATTTTTTATGATTGTTATTTTAATATTACATATGTATGAATGTCTTAAGATCATACGTATTTAAGTTTCACTTATTTCGTGTTTTTTAACTTGACCACAATCAGAGGCGGGTCTACCCTAGAGCAAGGGGTGTCGAGCAACACCCCTATATCGAAAAATTACATTATATATATAGATCAAAATTTAGTTTAATGAATATATATACAAGTGTTGACACATCTTGATACAAGTTAGTTAAAGGTTTAGTGTAGTTGTTAAGGGGTTGCAAAACTTGTATGAGGTTTTGTGTTCTATTCTTGATAGGAGTGTTTACTTTGTATAAAGTTAAACAATATAATGACATTTATGCTCTCTAACTTATGAATGTGCATAAGTATGTATTTAAATTTGTATAAAGTTAAACAAGTAGAGACATACGTCTTTCTACACATAATATAATATGTGTCTTACATGGCATAATATAAATCAATTTGAGTGTATCACGCGAACTGTCATGTAGAACGCATGTGTCCGCTTGTTTAACTTTATATAAATTTAAGTGTTTACTTGTGTACACCCAAAGTTGGAGAGTGTAGATGATATGACATATTTATGTAATTATGCTCATCTCTTATTCTTTATTGTCTATGTTGATAAATGAATTTTCATTGTCATTAATGAAATTTTTTAATAATTATAATTTAAATTTATTTATAATATAAATAGATGATCTTTTAAGAAATTGTTATGAAATATATCTTTATTTTTATTAATTATTTTTTTAGTTGTATCATATCATTATAAGACTATCACACTATAAATTCCGTTAAAACTTAAAAGTAATAGCATTTTGTTATTATGTTCATTTGTTTCATTTTAGAGCAACATTAAACTATATACTCAATCAATATTTCTTTCTTTTTGGATGAAATTAATAGTATTTAATAGAAAATTTATTATATATATCATGAAGCACACAAAGGAAGTGAGATCTTATTTCATATTGAAAAATATCAGGAAGAACTTACTTGACATGCCTTAAGCTTTCAAGAATTCTCTACGGGTGTTCGTGATCATGTACTTTCCGTAAGATTTCTAACAAATATAGTTATGACACGAATGAAGCTAACTTAAATCAAGAAACATAAACATAACAGAAGAAAGATCACAGAATAAGAAGCACAAAATTTCTGGCAATACTTCAATAGAAATCAATTAAAAAGACATACAAGAACTCCTTTTGTTCTATTTATTTCAGGATCACAAATCACTGGTGCTGTTCCATGACAATAAAGAAACTTACGCTACATCAAAAATGATCTTTAGAGGCAATTAATTAGCAATTATCGTTAAATATGTATTTTTATTGGCAATTAATTAGCACTCTTTGTATATGTCCTAAAGGTTTTAGCGACATTGGATCTAATGGCACTTAACTAATACCGGTAAAGACTTTAGCACTCTTTATTAATGTGTCTATTTATTGGTGCTAAAAGTTGTTTTTATTGTAGTGTTACGTCGTTCAATTTTAAATTTTAATATCGTAGGAGGGTTAAAGGTGAAACGTTTGCCTCCTTCGTGTAGGGGAGGTACTTGTGTCTTATCCCAAATCTATACATAGGAATATCGTTGTTTGATGTCCGTTCGTTTAGTTGATCTCTAGCTATATCAGATACCTTTGAACATAGAAACTCTTCTGATTCAATGTATTTGAGCATATCTTGAATCTTCTCTTTACTTTTTCTAAGCTCACTAACTAGTCTTTGCAAATTCATTTCTTCCTTATTCGTTGCTGATACAACAAAAGGAAGAATAGCATTCCCGGTAAAGTCTGCTGGAACTAATGCAATATTACTTCTACTGTCGTAGGACTACTGCTTGTATCAATAAGGATGGCATAAAATTTGATGTATTATTGACGCATTTGTATAGGAATGTAGTGATTGCTTCTACTGTCGTAGGACTGGTTTGAGTTTCTGATTCAGCTGAATTAATCAAAATCAACAACCACTTGATTAAATATTGATGCTCCATTAAACAGGGGAGATAGTTTTGCTTCTGAATCGCGCGCTACCATGGACCAGTCCCTTAAGAAATTACCCAAACTGCACCCATCAGGCATACACCAAGCGCTACGCCACCACATTCAAAATGGTAAAGCTTAGCTGCAACTAAACTGTTTGTAGATGGGAACCAAGGATCTATAGGAAGTACTAAATTTTATCGATATAAGTACGAGGATGATCAAAGAGACTAGACATTGGACAATCAATAAAAAATATGAAAAAAAAATAAAATTAACGCCAAAAAATCACAAACTAATATAGTAACCTTAAATTAAAAAATTTCTAACATTTTTTTTTAATTTTTATTTTTTTCAGCAAATTTCGAAAATGAGTAATTTATTTAAAAGAATAAAAATTAAAAAAATTGTTGAAATTTTGAATTTAAGGTTACTATATTTATTTGTGATTTTTTGGTGTTAATTTTATATTTTTTTCATATTTTTTATTAATCAATTACTCATTTTTGGGATTTACCGAAAAAAATAAAAATTTAAAAAAATTGTTGAAATTGTTGAATTTTAAGGTTAAAATATTTATTTGTGAATATTTGGCATTAATTTTATATTTATTTTTTTCATATTTTTCCTATTTTTTATTAATCAATTACTAATTTTTGGGATTTACCGAAAAAAATAAAAATTTAAAAAAATTGTTGAAATTGTTGAATTTTAAGGTTAAAATATTTATTTGTGAATATTTGGCATTAATTTTATATTTTTTTTCATATTTTTCCTATTTTTTATTAATCAATTACTAATTTTTGGGATTTACCCAAAAAAATAAAAAAATTTAAAAAATTGTTGAAAACGGGTCGGGTAGTTTATTTAAAAGGGGGGGGTTGATTTATGGGTCGGATTAGGTGTTTATGGGTTCGAATTTTTTAGGGGTATAATTGATCCCTTTCCATTTTCATATAAATTCCATGTGGTAAAGTCAAAATGACATGACAATTCCATGTGGCATTTAAAGAAATGAAAAATGAGCTGGATATGTCCAGCAGACCAACTAACGTCCATAATGGCATATTTAGATCAAAAGTTGGACGGCGAGGGCATGAGTGAGCCAAACTTTAAACGGAGGGTATATCTAGACCTTTTCAAATAGTTTAGGGGCATATTTGATCCTTTACCCATATTTTTTTTCTCATTTTTTAGGCATTTTTTTCATATAAATATAATAATTTACTCACTAAGAAAATAAACAATTAAATAATTTACTCACTAAGAAAACAATTAAATAAGCCCACGTACTTTTTCACCTTTAAAAGTTGTAGCTGCACAAATTTAATCAGATACGTTTCAGTTGTAACTGTATGTATTTATGGGTCAAGGAAATCCAAAAAACAATTAACAATTAAATAATTCACTCATCACTAAAATGCATTTCTTTAATATTCTTAATCATGATGAAAACTTCAAAAGCCTCTAACCAACTATAATCAGAAGAAGAAATGAATGTTCTTAAATGTAACCGTTTTTATCTTTACCTATGTATCACCCAAAATTCACTTCAATCCATCCGTTTTTATCTTTACCTATATATCACCCAAAATTCACTTCAATCCATCATATGATAAATCCCTTTGAATTTTTTTATTTTTATTTGCTTTTTATTTTTAAAATATTTATATAATATTATATTGCTACTTGTGATATATGTTTGTGTTGTTTTGCAAATTGAAA